GTGGTGTGTGTGTTTGTGTGTGTGTTATTGTGCGTGTCTGTATGTGTGAGAGCGAAGGGGGGGGGGGGTTAGAGAGAGGTAGAGCTAGAGACAATGACAGAGAGAGAATGACAGAGATACAGAAAGAGACAGAGAGAGAGAGAGAGAGAGAGAGAGAGAGAGACAGAGAGAGAAAAGAGAGAGAGAGACAGAGAGACAGAGAGACAGAGAAAGGAAATAATAATAATAATAATAACAATAATAATAATAATAATGATGTAATAACAACAGTAGCAATAGTAACAATAATAATGATAATAATAACAATAAAAACAACAATAATAATAATGATAATGTAAATATTACTACTACTGCTACTACTACTACTACTACTACTACTACTACTACTACTACTACTACTACTACTACTACTACTACTACTACTACTGCTGCTATTACTACTACTACAACTACAACTAATAATAATTATAATATAAAAAATATATAAAATAATAATAATAATTATAACAATAATAATAATAATAATATCATAACAACAATAATAACAAAGTTAGTGTTGTATAGTGTAAATTTCCGCTCAAGAGCATTTTGTATGCGCTTTATAATCCATATTGTTTGAAAAACAGAACAAACAATAACAAAACAAACAACCAAAAGGAAAAAAAATCCCAAAAGTACGAAAAATAACAATAAAAAGTAAAAGCAATACGACATGTGGAATTTTATGTGCAATTCTTTTCATCTTCCATCAGGGACCCAAGAATGCGCTTCATAAAGCCTTCTTTTGAACTGACTGTGAAAAAAGGTAGGTTGTTGAAGAGAATTTGCGAGTTGTGCGTTTTTTAAAAACCGCCATAATAAACATCATTTCGAAAAGTGAAATATTTTTATTGGCCGTCGTATCAGGCTTTACTCTCACGACCTTAATAATATTTGTCACTATGTATTGTAATGTTATGACTGAGCATTTCTGATGGTTTTTGTAAAAACCGCCATAATTAAATGCCATATTTTGAAAAGTGAAACAATATGATGGAGAATTACACCGAGCTTTCGTTTGACTTTTTATTCTCTCGTCATTAAGATTGGTAAGTGTGTTAATCTTTAATATTTAGTTGTGGGTGAGCATTTCTGGTGCCTTGAGGAACAAATAAACACGCCATATTTTATGCCCTTTTGAAATGTGAAATATGATGATGGAGTATTACCAAAGATAGTACATAACTAGATGGGCCATTCAGTCAAAAAAAGTGTCCGCAGGAAGTTCGCTCTTTGCTTCAGATGGCGCTGCAGTCTGTTTTGAAGCTCTCTTTCGTTTTTCCAGAAGAAGAATAGAAATAGCACCTCCTTGGGTGCGCATATCGACTGCTGTTCATCAGCAGTTCGGGTACGTTCAGTGCGGAGTGTTAGGTTTTTTTGTTTTTTTTAATGACCTCTCGCCTTTCATTCTAAAGTCAAATTAAACGAAGAAAACCATCACCCTTTCCTCCAGAAGAGGTTTTTTGTCAACGTAACCATTTAAAAAAGCATTCTTCAGAAATTGATCCCAAACCTTGCTAGTTTCACTTTGATTGTTTAAAACTCAAGTAGGGTAACTCTGTTCGCAAAGAGTGCGCTTTTGTGAAGAGGGCGCCAACAAATTTTGAGACACTTATTTAATTGGCTCAAAGAGAGAAGTGGCCCATCTTGTTATGTACTATCTTTGGTATTACACCGAGCTATCGTTTGACGTTGTACTCTCTCGTCGTTAAGATTTGTAAGTGTCTAGATCTATATTTACAGACTTCAACATAAGTTCAGGACCACCTTGACAGATTTTTTTTTAAATCTGAAAAATAGACAGCAAGGAATGATTCTTTTTTTTTTTTTTTTTTGCTCTGAAAGTGTT